CAAGGACGGAGCCAAGGGGGGACCTACGGGTGCCACGGCCCCCCCAACAATTTTAATTTTTTTTTATATACATATATATTACTATATGGCACCCCCTATTTTTAATATAAACTCATATGTATAATTAAATGAATAACCCAAATTTATTTTTTTATTCAACTTTTGGACTTCTGGTACGGCCTGCTATGTGGTATCACTTTGGAATTTTTTTTTTTTAAAAAAATGTAGCGCCTCATTTGATCATTCTCAATTCTTGCCTTCTCAATTCTTGCCTTCTCAATTCTCGGCCCCCCAGTATTGAAATCCTGGCTCCGTCCCTGTATGTAATTATATTATTGAAGTAGTTTAAGAAAAAAATAATGCCAAAAATGTCACCTAAATCTCCAAAAAAAAAAATCTGGGTCAGAACAAGTTTGTGTTCTCGTCTAAATACATGAGTACATATAGTAAAATTTAAATTCATAATTATATGCAAGAAAATGGTAAAATATTAGGGAAAATGTTAATAATAATTTTTTTTTTGAAATTCTTTTGATACACTCTATTATTGGATAGATTTAATGTAAAAATATTTTTTTTAGATACTTAGATTCAAAATCATTTATTCCAAAAGTATTTTTTTTTTTTGTAGTACATCGTCTTTCTGGGTACATTTTCAAGAGGTGTTTTGACTTTTCTTACAGAAGAATTATAAAAATATAAATCAAATGCTATTAAATTAAGATAAAATATAATATTTTACAGTCTTTAAATTCCACTTCTGTTTATAAAGACGAAAGAAGCACCGACGTAATTCTGAATAAAATATGAAGTAAAAGAAACTGCACGGTACAATGACATCTCCGTAGGAATTTGTACATGTTTAATATATAATAAAATAACCTATGACCATAGATAGTTTACTATAATAAGAAAAACCATGTGAAACCATAGCAATAGGCAGAATTAAATAGCAATAAATTTTTTTTTAAAATTTATTAAGAAAAACTAGATGAAACTAATTGAAATCTGAATGAATGCATGTTAAGGTCAAACATGGATAAGAATCATGAGGCTTCCCACATGCCGGTCACACTTATTATTTGATGTGTATCTTCAAGACCAACTGGACACAGAAAAAAGTTTTAAATATATACTATAAATTTTAATTATAATTAAAATTTAATGAAATAAACCTCAAGAAAATGAAAAGTTTCAGAGTCTTTAAATTCAAAATGACTGTATCAGTTACTTTACAGCACATTAGAGGTTGAGTGAGTCGTTGAAAAAAAAATTAATGACCATTATTATGCTTTTAAAAAAAAATAAATCATAACGGTAATTTTGTTATAAAGTAAAGTTTTTTTTCTCTCCTTATTTTACTGTATTTGTGACAGCTATCTCAGTTCCTACTATGTCAATTATTGTAAAAACCTACACCCATAATTTAAAACTTTGTATAGAATAATATCATGTATAAAAAAAATCATGAATATAATAAAATATTGATTATTAATTTTCTTAACCAACGACGAAATTTGGAAGAGTAAAATCCAAAATAAAAATATTGCAGTTGCAGTTGTAATATCATCATATTCTTCTTGATATTGCATATGCTACTCATTTACTCTCGTGAATGTTTTATAAGATCTTCATGTTTTGTTTTATTTGTTGTTGATGGCATGTATGAAACTCAAAGGCAGATAGATGAAAAGAATGATAAATTGAATTGAACGAGAGATAGAAACGAAGAGACTCACAGCGTTTTTGTGATAATCGTTATCAGTTGGTATCTCAGTTCCCATGATTACCGAAGAAGCAGTGGCTAGTGAAGAACGATGTTGTAACTGATAGACAGAAAAATATAGGTCGGGATTTCTGAGGTTTCAAGACAGAAAAATATAGGATGGGATTTCTGAGGTTTCAGTTTCAGTTTTATGAATGTGTGTTATGAGGGAAACGAAACCTTGCTACATAACAAAGTCAATGCTCACATGAAGAGAGAGAGTGAGAGAGAGAATCTGAGAGATCTTGAATAAATGATGAAGAGAATCTCTTATATAGAGAAACAAGTCTTTGAATTAGAGTTCTATTTTCTATTCCGAAGTTTCCTCCGGCGCTGCATTTATTTTATTTTATTTACAGGAGTTTTAGGTAGTAATCAAAATATATGTCTTATTAAGGTATGACATTTAATAAGAGTGAATATATACATTGGTAATGTTAAAATATATTTCTTTATTATTCTTTAAGTTAATATACATATATTTGGTTATAAATAAATATTTTTCATCAATAAAAAAAGAAATAAATATTTTTTGGGAATACGTATACCTATTTCCTAAAATTCAAAATTAATTTTAATTTTTTTTACTCAAAGAGATGTATTAAATTGGGATATAATAAGACTATTTTAGTAAAAGAAAAATTCTTCCGAATGTAATGACTTTTAAGATTTTTTTTTTTTAAAAAAAAATTATAATCAAGATTTTTGAAATATGAATTTAGATAGATTTATATATTAAGAATTTATAAGATTTAAAAAGATTTTACAAGATTTTAAAAAATAATATAATTATAACTTTAATAGGTCTCAGATTTAAGATGTGACATTTCTCCATAAATGATAAAGTTTAAATAAATAAAAATAAAATAATATTTTTTTAATATTTTAATAAATAAATAATTTTAATTTTATGTCCTTTTAAATAAGAATAATAATATTTTAAACTTTAAATAAACCTGACTTATTTAATAAAAAAATCATGTTTAAGTTTTAAATAGAAATATAATAAAAAAATTAATATACATATATTATCAACAATATAAATAAATAAATTTATAAAATGAAAAAAATTATTAATATTTCTTATCAATCCACTTAAACATTTTACATATTCTCTTCATACAAAATCAATAAATTATGAATAGAAATCCTAGCCACCATATTCATTGTATATGAATGTACATGTTATAATAACGACTATAAAATAAAGAAATTGAAGACTAAAGATAATATTTCATTCATGATCAGAATTATTATATCCATCAAAATAAATAGCTTAAGAAATTACAGTCTTATAATACCAACCATACATGTATCTTAATCTATACACTTAGTTTAGGAAGCATTTGGTAGGAGAAAGTTTTTTCATACTCGAAAATTATGATTATTGAGAATTACAAATTCCGTAATCATCTTTTTTATAAATGGTTAAAGTCCATTTGATTACTCGTAAAAATATTCTTGAAAATATTAATATAATTTTCTAGGAAATAAACTTCTCATTTTTGGTTATAATATTACTTTCATGTCTATATAAATAATTTTTACAAAAATATCATTTATAAAAAAATGAGTTTTTTTTTTTTTAATTTCTTGTAAGATGTAACTATGTCATAATCTAACATAAAAATATCATATTAAGCCTAAAATAACAAATTAACAATTTGAGTATGAATGTATGATTAAACTATATGCAAAACTATAATAAATCAAAGTGTAAAATATAATTTTCATAAATTATCACAATAAGAAAAAATTTTAAATTTATAATTAACATAACAATTAAAATTAAAATATAAGTAAATTAAATGACAATAAAAAGATATCGCATTTTTTTCTTAAATAATTTGTTAAATTTAAAAGCTAAAAATAAGAAATTAGCAATACAATTTTATAATTTATAAATTTTAAATAATTATAAAATACTATATATTATGAAAATTATATAATCATTTAATTTTTATTATTAGATTAACAAGAAAAGTGATAAAAATAAATGTTAATTTCTACTTAATAATAAAAAAATATCTTGTAATAAAAAATACAATAAAATAATTTATTGAGAGTTTATACATGAAACGTTATACCAATTTTCTTATTTTCTTAAAAAATGATATCGCTAAAAATGACAAAATAATAATAATAATATTCTTAATAAATTGTGTTATTTAATTTATATTTTAATTACTTAATTAATTTAATGTGTTTTCATGATTGTTGGTGATAATAAATGAAAAAATATTAATTAGATTTGTTATCTTAAAAAAAATACTATTTGATCTTTTTATATACATAAAATTAGTTAGATTCTCACTTTTTTCTCTAGAATGTTTTTGTAAGAAAATGAGATAAAAATAATTTTCAAAAAATATAACTATTGTTTTTAAATAAGTATCAAACTTGAAAAATCAAGATTCTCAATTTAATATTTCAAAGAAATTAAAAAAGATTTCGCATATCAAATGCTCTCTTAGGGGGGTGTTTGGTAGGGAAGAAACTTTTTTATACCTGAGAACATGATTCCTACAAATTACAAACCTGAGAATCATGATTCCTAATAATAGTTAAAATCTATTTGGTTATTCATAAAGAATCTTAGAAATATTAAAGGATGTATTGGATTATGATTTCAATAGATTTTAAAAGACATTTTTATTATAAAAAAGTACTATGGTATTCAATCAAGATATTTTTAATATAAAAAGTCATATGGTATTCAATCAAGATAATTATTATTTTTTAAGAGTCTGTCAAAATCTAGTGATAATTGTAACACCCCGATTTACACAAATTATTATGAAGGCCCAAAGCCTAATAAGAGTGATTTAGTAGCTCAGAATAGGCCGTTCCCAAACTGGAACGGACCGTTCTAAACTACTAAAAAGACCTATAAACCCTAGTTGAGAACAGGCCGTTCCCAAACTGGAACGGGACGTTCCAAACCACCAAAAAGGCCTATAACCCTAGTTGGGAACGGGCCGTTCTGGTTTAAGAATGGGTCGTTCCAAACATGGTCGTTATGAGTTAAACTTAACACAAGAACGGGTCGTTCTGGTTTAAGAACGGGCCGTTCTATATCTGAATTTTACACATGATGAATGAGTGTAGAACGGGCTGTTCGAGATCTGAAACAGGTCGTTCTGGCCACTTCTGATATCTATAAATAGCAAACTCTCGCACTGCTCCTGGACACACTCTCTAAAGACCAAGGAGAACCAAGAGAAGGAGATCAACCATATTCTGCTCTAGCTTCGTCTTCTACTTATCCAAGTAAGGCCTGTAAGGGGAAGTGAGAAACCTCGCTCGGGGGTGTGGGAATGATTGTTGGATAGCAGGATTGGCCCCCAATCCCTTGCCTGATGTATGCCTATAGTAACAGGCACTTTATGAAAGTTTTCTGTTTTACTTTCTTATTGTTCTGTTGTGTTCCTTGTTGGATGTGATCTTTGGATGAATTTTGAGGCATTATATGTAAAATTGATGATGGATTCATGTTTTGGATAAATTATGGGTATGGTTATGTGCTATTTTATATATGACTATGAGAAGTTCCTTTTATGAGACTATGTGAATATGACGAGGAAATGTGAAAAGTGAACATATGATCTATGATATGATATTATGAGATAAAATGACATGAGACATGATGTGAATGACGTGCTATTGTGAGCACTATGACTATGAGAATGTGAAATGTGATGAAATGAGATAAGACATGAAATTCCATGACAAGTAAAGTGATGAGTCCATGAGTTTGTGAATGTGTGACATGCATCATATGCATTTATTTGACGGGGTACGATATGGAGTACAGCGTTAGGGAAGACCCTCCAAATGTGAAACATCTTGGAGGAGTCCTAGGGGATAATGCGGTTTGGAAGACCCAGTTCTGTCCGTTTATGTGCATGAGACGTATCTTCCACGGCTTCACTATCCCAACGAGACCCTATCGGTACATCCTTCTAGTTGAGAGTGCATAGTTGAGCCGACATGTACTCCTAGACTACTCTACGTGTATTGCTAGTGGCAATGCACCATGTGATATGTGACTGGTGCCACATGCATGCACTCGTGAGTCGAGTCCATGACATCATTTCATGATAAATGAGTGTACATGTGATACTGATTATGTATGTGTATTATTTATATGTGATTGGTGCTTGTGACTTGTAATATGTTTGTTGTGTGTGTGTTATCTATCCTTTATTTTTGTACCTAAACCTGAGTGAGATGTTTCTCACTCCCTTGTTATTATTTGTATGTGTTTAAATTGTGTTCCAGGTGATCATCAGCATGAGGATGTTGGTGATGAGGCTTAGACTTCAGTTGGGCATGCTCTGATAGGATATGTGACATCAGGGCATAGTTAGGCTTAGTTTAGGATGCTATTTCCATTAAACTATTTGAAAACTCATATTTATTTCTTTGTAATTTCACTGACATGTTATTTGGATTAAGTTTATGAATGTGAACTCTACCCTTATGTGGTTGGAGATTTGGTTTTTAATGATGAAATCTCTAGATTTCAAAGTGGTCTTAATCTTGAGATAAGAGACAAAGTTGAACTTCTACCTTATAGGGATTTGAATGAACTTGTTCAACTTTGCTCAAGAGTGGAGCATCAACTTACAAGAAAACCTTTTCGAAAAGACTCCACTCCCTCTTATTCCAAGAGTTTTAAGAAGGAGGGCCACTATTCCCTACCTTATCCCAAAGAAGAAAAAGAAAAAGAAAAATCATCTTTTAAAGCACCTTCCAAAGAGTCTAAGTCAAGTGAAATCAAGTGCTTCAAGTGTCTTGGAAGAGGACATATTGCTTCCCAATGTCCTACAAAGAAAACTATGGTTTAAAAAACCCAAGACCACTATAGTAGCCTTGATGAAACTACTTCTTCTTCCTCTAGTAGTGAAGAAGAAGCCATAGACTCCGAGGAAGAAATTTTACCTTTTGAAGGAGACTTACTATTGGTTAGAAGGCTTCTTAACAATCAACCTAGTGACATTGACCAATCTGAAAGAGAGAACTTGTTTCAAACAAAATGCAAGATTCAGGAAAACACTTGTTCTCTCATTGTAGATAGTGGGTCTACTTCAAATTTTTGTAGTACTAGATTGGTTGATAAGTTGGTTTTGACTACAAAACCTCATCCTAAACCTTATAGAATGCAATGGATCAATGAGGAGAGAGGTATTGTAGTTAACCAACAAGCAAGCATACCAATCTTCATTGGCAATTATAAAGAAGAAGTTTTGTG